TTTTCAAGGTGCATGAATTCGTGGGCCTCTAGTTAAAAATAAAAAAGCAAGACTTTTTTTGAATATCATAAGAGTAGATTTATATAGTAAAAAAAGGAAGTTCTTGAAAACATTTTTAAAACTAAATATATTATTGGTTACTTTACAACATGTAGAAGTGTCATAGTCCCATCAGCTGCACAGTATATACAGCCAAGTCATAATGACCAAATGCCATATCCCAGAAATGTCAGGTGTTGGTCATTAAAAAATAATGAATTTTTCCTAGTTATCTTATTATTTTTGAAGCAATTGTTAATGGCATTGTTTTTTTTCTCAGTTTCCATTTCTGATAGTTCATTATTGATTTAACCAAGAATGTAAAAGCTTTACTTCAAAAATTATAAGACACTGAAGAAAGAAATTAAAGAAGATATAAGCGGAAGCATATACTGTGTTCATGGATAGGCAGAATTAAAATGTCCATCCTTATAAGCATAACCAATGGACACAAGACACTGGGGAGTAAGTGAGGTCGGGGGAAGGTCAAGGGGGGGGGAAGGAGACATATGTAATACTCTTTTTAATACTTTAAGCAATAAAACAAAATTTAAAAAAATAAAATAAAATGTCCATCCTACCCAAAGCAATCTACAGATTCAATGCAATTCTTATCAAGATACCAATGGTGTATTTCACAGAACTAGAACATATATTCTGAAAATTTATATGGAACCACAAAAGACCCTGAATAGCAACAGCAATCTGGAGAAAGAAGAACAAAGTTGGAGGAATCATGCTACCTGATATCAAACTATACTACAAAGCCATAGTCATCAAAATGGTATGATACTGGCATAAAAAGACATATAGATCAATGGAACAGAATAGAGAACCCAGAAATAAACCCATGCCCTTATAGTCAATTAATATTTGACAGAGGAGGCAAAAACATACAATGGGCTAAAGATAGTCTATTCAATAAATGGTGTTGGGAAAACTGGACAGATACATGCAAAAATGAAACTAGACCACCTTCTTACACTGCATACAAGTAAAAACACAAAACAGATTAAAGACTTGTAAAGTAACCAATGTTAGACTCGAAACCATAAAAACCCTGGAAGAAAACATAGTCTGTAAAATCTCAGACATTTCTTACAGCAATAATTTTTTCTGATATATCTCCTCGGGCAAGGAAAACAAAAGAAAAACTAAACAAATGGGACTACATCAAACTAAAAAGTTTTGCACAGCAAAGGAAACCATCAAGAAAATGCAAAGACAATCCACTGGATGGGAGAACATATTCGTCGAAGATTCTTATAAGGTGTAATTATTCAAAATTTATAAAGAAGTCATACAACTCAACAGCAAAAAATAAACCCAAAAGAATCCAATTAAAAAATGGGCAAAGAACCTGAATAGACACTTCTCCAAAGAGGACACACAGATGGCCAATAAACATATGAAAAGATACTCAATCATCAGAGAAATGCAAATTAAAACTGCCATGAGATATCACCTCACACCTGGCAGAATGGGTACCATCAATAAATCAACAAGTCTTGGTGAAGATGTGGAAAAAAGGGAACCCTAGTGCACTGTTGGTGGGAATGCAGACTGGTGCAGCCACTGTGGAAAGCAGTATGGAGTTAACTCTAAAAATTAAAAATGGAACTGCCTTATGACCCAGAAATTCTACTTCTGAAAATTGATTGGAATAAACCTGAACAGTAATTCAAAAGAATATATGCACCCCTGTTCATTGCAGCATTATTTACAATAGCCAAGATTTGGAAGCAGCCCAAGTGCCCATCAGCAGATGAGTGGATAAAACAGCCATGGTACATTTACACAATGGTAAAAAGGAAGAAAATTGTACCCTTTGTGACAGCATGGATAGACCTAGAGAACATTATGCTAAGTGAAATAAGGCAGTCAGAGAAAGACAAGTTACCATATGATTTCACTCATATGTGGAATTTAATAAACAAACTGAACTAACAAGCAGAATAGAGACAGACTCATATAGAGCAGGCAGACAGCTCTGGAGAGTGGTGGGTGATAAGAAGTGGAGGGATTGAGCAAAAGGAGCAAAAAAAGAGAAAGAATTCTGGACAGGACAAAGGTGTGTGATTCCCTTGCCGGGGGAGGGTGTTGGATCGAAGTAGAAAGGTTATCGGGGCGGGGGGGGGCGGGGA